GTGAACTATCCCTTTAAGCCCAAAGTACACTTTGGTTTTTATGCATATACCAGGTTATGCATACAGTGCACGTAACATAAATGTCATCAGCATTATCCACATTCCCGGCAGAGGTTGTACTTCCTTCGCCAGCTGAGGAAATTCAGCCTGCCACAGGAGCTGCTGAAACAGTTCTACTATGCCATCATTGAATCTGTCCTCTGCACTTCTATAACTGTCTGGTTCAGCTCAGCTGCCAAATCTGACCTCAGAAGACTACAGAGGGTAGTCTGGACTGCTTAGCGAATCACTGGTACAACCCTCCCTTCTCTCCAAGAACTGTACTCATCCAGAGTGAGCAAAAGGGCTAGCAAAATCACTCTGGACCCCTCACATCCAGCACACTCCCTCTTTGAACTGTTGCCATCTGGTCGACGCTACAGAGCTCTGAGCACCAGAACGACCAGACACAGGAACAGTTTCTTCCCTCAGGCCATCCATCTCATGAACACTTGACAATAACTGTGGAACACACACTATTTATTCACTCATACACTTATTTATCTAACACACACACTCAGTCTACATTTCAATTTGCACATAATATACCTGTACATACAACTGTCTATTGTTATATACCTGTACATACAATTGTCGACTGCACTTCAGTAACTGTCTGGTTCAGCTCAGCTACCAAATCTGACCTCAGAAGACTTCAGAGGGTAGTCCGGACTGCTGAGCGAATCATTGGTACAATCCTCCCTTCTCTCCAAGAACTGTACTCATCCAGAGTGAGCAAAAGGGCTAGCAAAATCACTCTGGACCCCTCACATCCAGCACACTCCCTCTTTGAACTGTTGCCATCTGGTCGACGCTACAGAGCTCTGAGCACCAGAACGACCAGACACAGGAACAGTTTCTTCCCTCAGGCCATCCATCTCATGAACACTTGACAATAACCGTGGAACACACACTATTTATTCTCTCATACACTTATTTATCTAACACACATACTCAGTCTACATTTCAATTTGCACATGATATACCTGTACATACAACTGTCGATTTGTATATTTTTACTCCTTATTTTCTTGTTCTATTTTTTTTTTTATCTGTGTTTTTTTTTGTTTCCGTCACTGTCATTCTGTTGCACTGTGGAAGCTTCTGTCACGATAACAAATTCCTCGTATGTGTAAACACCTGGCAATAAAGCTCATTCTGATTCACTGTACATGCACAGACAGATTTTTCTAAATGTGGAAACAAGAAAAACTAGTAGAGACAGCAAAAACAGACATCCATGTTGACGAGTCCTTGCATGAGGGGGTTAAGATGATCACGCAACTCTTCTTTTACAAGGACATTTTTATCGCTCATAACAACTGCAGAGAAATAGTGCAGGCAGTGCACTAGGAAAGTTCTAGTGTGCTTGTGTCAAGAGTCTCGGTGTTCATGTATGCTATCAAATGAAGTATACTTTGAAAGGCTATGCGTTTGACTGTACGCTAGGGCTGTACAATAATTCAATATCAATATGTATCGCGATATGATTTTTAAACACATTTCCAATATTTCGATATACATTACCAATTTACCAGTGGTTCCCATACATTGATTTATTTGTGGCGTTTGACGTCTTTGAATAAACATGAGCACGGCACGTTTCAAAATCAAAACACACATGGCGGATGTTTTATATGAATGCATCTCTGAAGGGAAAGGACTTTCTTCAGAAAAGTTTCGATGGCATTTTCATTTAATCTGATAAAGAAGCGTTCATGATCAGAGCTGCTATGATTACAGACGTTACTGGGGAAACCGCTAGTTCTACCGCTCTCAATACGTCTCCTGCTGGCAGACAATCAGTTTGCATTTTCAATAATAAACCTGTCTCCAGCAACATGTTTTTGTTTTCTGCAGCAACTCAAGAGCACTTTTCATACTCTTTATCCTGGCTAAAGCACTGTTTCAATCTATAAGAATAATCAGCCTACGCTACCAGTCAACAGTTTTTGAACAGTAAGATGTTTAGTTTTTTTTTTTTTTTTTTTTTTTTTTTTTTTAAGAATTCTCTTCTGCTCACCAAGCCTGCATTTATTTGATCCAAAGTACAGCAAAAACAGTACAATTCTGAAATATTTTTACCATTTAAAATAACTGCTTTCTATTTAAATATATTTTAAAATTTAATTTATTCCTGTGATCAAAGCTGAATTTTCAGCATCATTACTCCAGTCTTCAGTGTCACATGATCCAGAAATCATTCTAATATGCCGATTTGCTGATTATCAATATTTAAAACAGTTGAGTACATTTTTTTTTTCAGGATTCTTTGATGAATAGAAAGATCCAAAGACCAGCATTTATCTGAAACAAAAAGCTTTTGTAACATTATACACTATTCCATTCAAAAGCTTGGAGTCAGTATGATTTCTTCTTTTTTTTTTGGAAAGAAATTATAGAAATTAATACTTTTATTTAGCAAGGATGCTTTAAATTGATCAAAAGACATTTATAATGTTACAAAAGGTTTCCATTTCAGATAAATGCTGTTCTTCTGAACTTTCTATTCATCAAAGAAACCTGAAAAAAAAAATTCTACTCGGCTGTTTTCAACATTATTTTTGAGCAACAAATCAGAATGTTAGAATTATTTCTGAAGGATCATGTGAAATCACTCTGGACCCCTCACATCCAGCACACTCCCTCTTTGAACTGTTGCCATCTGGTCGACGCTACAGAGCTCTGAGCACCAGAACGACCAGACACAGGAACAGTTTCTTCCCTCAGGCCATCCATCTCATGAACACTTGACAATAACCGTGGAACACACACTATTTATTCTCTCATACACTTATTTATCTAACACACATACTCAGTCTACATTTCAATTTGCACATGATATACCTGTACATACAACTGTCGATTTGTATATTTTTACTCCTTATTTTCTTGTTCTATTTTTTTTTTTATCTGTGTTTTTTTTGTTTCCGTCACTGTCATTCTGTTGCACTGTGGAAGCTTCTGTCACGATAACAAATTCCTCGTATGTGTAAACACCTGGCAATAAAGCTCATTCTGATTCACTGTACATGCACAGACAGATTTTTCTAAATGTGGAAACAAGAAAAACTAGTAGAGACAGCAAAAACAGACATCCATGTTGACGAGTCCTTGCATGAGGGGGTTAAGATGATCACGCAACTCTTCTTTTACAAGGACATTTTTATCGCTCATAACAACTGCAGAGAAATAGTGCAGGCAGTGCACTAGGAAAGTTCTAGTGTGCTTGTGTCAAGAGTCTCGGTGTTCATGTATGCTATCAAATGAAGTATACTTTGAAAGGCTATGCGTTTGACTGTACGCTAGGGCTGTACAATAATTCAATATCAATATGTATCGCGATATGATTTTTAAACACATTTCCAATATTTCGATATACATTACCAATTTACCAGTGGTTCCCATACATTGATTTATTTGTGGCGTTTGACTTCGTTGAATAAACATGAGCACTGCACGTTTCAAAATCAAAACGAAGCGCGGATGTTTTATATGAATGCATCTCTGAAGGGAAAGGACTTTCTTCAGAAAAGTTTCGATGGCATTTTCATTTAATCTGATAAAGAAGCGTTCATGATCAGAGCTGCTATGATTACAGACGTTACTGGGGAAACCGCTAGTTCTACCGCTCTCAATACGTCTCCTGCTGGCAGACAATCAGTTTGCATTTTCAATAATAAACCTGTCTCCAGCAACATGTTTTTGTTTTCTGCAGCAACTCAAGAGCACTTTTCATACTCTTTATCCTGGCTAAAGCACTGTTTCAATCTATAAGAATAATCAGCCTACGCTACCAGTCAACAGTTTTTGAACAGTAAGATGTTTAGTTTTTTTTTTTTTTTTTTTTTTTTTTTTTTTAAGAATTCTTTTCTGCTCACCAAGCCTGCATTTATTTGATCCAAAGTACAGCAAAAACAGTACAATTCTGAAATATTTTTACCATTTAAAATAACTGCTTTCTATTTAAATATATTTTAAAATTTAATTTATTCCTGTGATCAAAGCTGAATTTTCAGCATCATTACTCCAGTCTTCAGTGTCACATGATCCAGAAATCATTCTAATATGCCGATTTGCTGATTATCAATATTTAAAACAGTTGAGTACATTTTTTTTTTCAGGATTCTTTGATGAATAGAAAGATCCAAAGACCAGCAATTATCTGAAACAAAAAGCTTTTGTAACATTATACACTATTCCATTCAAAAGCTTGGAGTCAGTATGATTTCTTCTTTTTTTTTGGAAAGAAATTATAGAAATTAATACTTTTATTTAGCAAGGATGCTTTAAATTGATCAAAAGACATTTATAATGTTACAAAAGGTTTTGGATCAAATAAATGCAGGCTTGGTGAGCAGAAGAGAATTCTCGAAAACATTAAAACTCTTACTGTTCAAAAACGTTTGACTGGTAGTGTATGTTAGCCTACAGTTTGAAGTTAAAGATATTAATATTAATTAGGGGAGTCCAAGACGATTATTTGACAGTGATTTCACATTTCTTGTTTGTATGAAGGCTAAACACAAATAAAAGGTGAACATTCATTTATTTGTGCCACTTTTTTCTCTTCTAAAATATTATATGGTTTTATATGAGGTATCAGACTTCGGAAATTAATTTTTCATAAGTTTGTATGCACAGACATCTGTTGTGGGTGTTCTTAATGGCAGTTTATACGAGGCTTTTTTAAAATAGTGTTAATATCGATATCGGAATTATATCGCATCGACCGAAATTAAGAAATATATCGTGATATTAATTTTGGCCATATCGTCCAGCCCTACTGTACGCATATAAGCGTTTATTTCCAAAAATAAATTATACTTTGGTCTTTAAGGCCCAGATACTCGATTTTTGGTCTTTCAAAGTACTCCATGGACGGTGAGGCTTTAGTTTACTGCAAAAGATAGAAGAATTGCTTGCAGTGTTAAATTTTCACCTCAGACAAGAACAAGATGAAGGCTTTATGCTTCTTTTATTAATAAAGAATAAATGAAGTTACCTTCAAAAGTAGTCAAACAATAACCTAAAACCACCCACTCCAAACAAATCTGCAGCAGGCAGACATGATTCCCTTTTACAGACAAACGTGAAACATGACTACATTTTCGTGTTGACATAAGTGCAGAGACTACAAAAAGGTACAAACTATTATTAGTATGACACAATCACAATATTTACACATAAATAGAGACGGAAAGAAAGATTTACATAAACTATTTATAGAAGTGATTCTGGAGAATAAATATGGCAGGCGGACCGCAACAACTCTTTTGACTTTTAGAAATCAATACCCCTAAATCAACAATAAAAATCACTTCTAAAAGTACGCACAAATGTAAGGCCGCATTTAAACCAGTGCATTTTCCACTTAAATGCAACAGCTAGATGTGTATAGCTTTATAAAAGCTGAAAACTAGATTAGTTTAGATTAGGGCCTGTCTTACAAAACATTAAGAAATACTTTCAGTGGTTAATAACAGTGTAAATACTCTACCCCTCTAATAAAAATCAGAACATGTCAGTTATAAATGTGCCCAGACATTGACATCAACACAAGCTGTACTTCATTTGGTGGGTTCTGGAGCTGCAAATTAAACCCAGGTGGGGGGTCTTGGGCTGGAGGCGTCGGGCGGACGTGGTAGTAGTGTGGAAATTAATGACAACTCCGGATGCAAAGTTCAGAACAGGTGAGTTGTGGATCGGCTGAAGGTATGATACTTCCTCTCGAAGGCGGAGGACAGGTTGATCATCGATGGGGAATGAACAGCCTGGAAAAAGAAAATGGAAGAGAGAAATGCAATATAGCGATGAAAGGACAGTTTCAGGGTTATTCTAGGTTATTTCCATTCCAGTCTCAGTTTAAGACTCAAGAGTGCTCAATTGTACGTGGTGGAAGTGTTACCATTTGGTGCATTTTTATACCCAGAAGACCTTGTTAAAGATTCAGTGCAGCATGTTGCAAGTGTTGGTTAAAGCTATAACGCACTTAGGGCTCTCTGAACAAGCTATTCACACTGGAGTCTAGGGAGTGGGCGTTGTGAGCAAAAAATAAATAAATAAATAAAACATTTCACGGTGCGAGTGATTTTATACCACATTTTCATTATACCATGATATAATTAAAATAGTCTATACACCAAATACCCAAGTGATAATGCCTATATTGGATAATCAAGAGAATTCATTATTTTTCAGATGTAAAATATTTGATTAATTTTTTTTATTTAAAACTTGGATGCAATCTAAAAGCTTATTCATAAAAATTGAATCTGGCATTAATATGAAAACTATTTCAAATTATGTAACATGAACAACAATAATAAAAAACGACTCAAAACAGCAAAACTAACATTATAAAAACTGATCAATCTAATCCTAAATTCTGATTACATGAGCCCAACAAGTTGTAAAGTAGCCGAGAATTGAACAAAATGAATTGAATTTGCACATGAACTGAATACTCTAATAATGTGTCAAATTGACATTTCTACAGTCACATGGAATCAGTGATATTTTGTTTTTTAATTGTCTTTTAAAGAAAAATGTCCTTTAAAGTGAATGAATGACAAAATATTGATTATAAGACTGAAGTTAGTGTGGTTTATATTGGTATAGAATTTGGCAACAAACATTTCACACAAAAAAATGTGTCAAACTATTACAGATAAAACTGTGGGGGGGAAAAAGTATAAACATTAACCTATGAAATATTATAAATGCATACCTGTCAATATTTTGGAATAATTAAGATTTTATACATAATTTATTTTTCAATTATTTGCATAAACATTCTGCATTGTAAGTGCATTAATATCTGTTACTTTTCTTAGACTGCCATCAAGTTTATTGTAATTATTTAACGGTCATAATCATTTACATCTAGATTTCATTATCAAAATCCTTTTTTCAACCAATATTTTATCTGTAAATTTGTTCAAAATAATAACACTTCATGGTATTGAGAATCACGCTGCCCATCCCTGCTGAAGCCTACAAAACTACAGCTAATCTTCATGGATTTAGGGTAGGAACTAATCATTAAATAGTGTTGAGATTTTCTCTTTTGACCAAAAGCCAGTGCTTAGCCTTTTTTTAAATCACAAGTGTTCTCGCAGAAGCCTGAGGTTCACAGGTTTTTGTGAGTGTTTATTCAAGGGAGTGAGAAAAGGCGAGGAGAGAAATCCGTGTTAATGATATTGGCTTTACAAGCTCGCTGTGGTAAGAATGCACACGGTTGACCCTTTTTAAGTGTTCACCCTTCAGAACCGACAGTGTTACCCAAAGGAGTGTTAACCTCCATGCAGAGGATAATACTGTATTCTTCCCTTTAAACAGAGATGTGAAGGTGAAAAGAAGGTTAGCAAACCACAAACCCAATTTATTTTGTTTTACTCTTAATGTGCTCACAGATGTAACAAGCACCAGGCTGCTTTCACACATGCACAACAATAATCCTATTATTTAGCATTGCTTAATAAGAATTAAGGTGGCCTTGAACTTGAATTGCCTTGATTGTGCTAAACGCACACACTTTAGTATACAGATTATAGTTTATGGGATCAAATTAGAAATAGGAGATTAAATCATGGTCATCAGCTACTTTACAGCTGTCGCGCCCATAGATCATGCCAACATGATCTCGTAACAGTATCCCAGTAAAAATATGAGATTTATGGGAAAAAGAAAAATCACATTGCCACAGTAACAATTACGTCTTTATTATAAAAACCGTCATTATACTGAGAATCATGGAACTATAAATGCATCTGAGATGTCATATTTCACCCCGCATAAATGATCTGAGGTCTGTGTTTAAGGGGCTCTTCACCAAAAATAAGGTTCATTCTGTCTGTATTGTTACGTCACACTTCTTTTTTTTGTTGGAACAAAGCAAAAAATAAAACTTTTATTCAATGAAAATCTTAACTTTATCAGAATAAGTTGGATTTTTTTTTGAGTGAACAAATTCTATTCTCTTTTTTTTAAACTCATGTCATACATGCATGACATTTTTTCTTCCATGAAACACAAAAGGTGATACTTTAACACTTTTCCATCGAATGAAAGTGAATGCGGAATGAAACGGGGAAATATTATAAAACTGTTTCATATGACTCTTATGCTACAGTTAAAAGTAATATAATAACTCTTGAGCATGAAACAAAAATTTAAGGGTTGATATTGTTAACTAAAACAATACTAAAATTAAAACGTAAAATATAAAAATAAAAGCAAATTTATAATATTAACAAATACAAAAATTTTATGCAAATAATACTAAAATAAAGCAACAAGTCAAATTTGAAGACATGACATTGATATGATGTGGCCTGTCATCATTTGCCACATGATGCACATTCAACATTTACAATGTGGCAAGTGTCAATATGAAAAATACAAATGAGATTATAGCTACTGTGTATAAACTGGGTGAGGATAAATTAACAACGGTCAAAATTTCAGTCAAGTTACTATTATGGAGATTTATGTCATTTGATGACAGTCTGGATCCCCATTCACTTTCATGATGGGAAAAATAGTGCAGTACTAATAACATTTCTCAACATTACAGTAAATTACATAGAGGGGCCAGTATGAGGGTGAGGAAATGACCATTTACATTTTTTAGACAATTATCCCTTTTGAACCAGTCCTCAGATCATCTATAATTGAGTGCCACCATAGCCCATCTGTGCGGTAGTGAGTTAGTGTTAACACCGTCCCCAGATGTGAGTTAGTAAAAGTCACAGTGAGTCAAAGAGGCAGAACTGCTGTGCTCACATTCAAGAGTCCTACAGGAGGGTCTCCCGCCGTGGAGACCCAGGGAACCTGTGCTGCGGCTCAGGGGGCGCCAACAGCTCTCGGCACTGAGCTACGGGCTGGGCCGCTGGGAGGGACAGGATGGATGGTCTGATCTGGGTTTTGGGAGCTGCTGGTTCATCAGCCCTCTCTGGACTGCACGGCGTGCGGACACACACCGGGACCCTGGGCCACGGGGCATGGTCCAGAGAGTTTGACCGCTGAACCACTGCGCTTTTAATAGAGCCCGTCAGACTGAACGTAGAGGCAGAACGAGACATCTACACTCGCACGGAGGGAAGAGAAAGAGAGAGAGTGCATTAACCTCACCTTGCACCGCCTCTTCATCGCATGCCCTCACAATCACTCACTTTAAAATTGAAAGAGGAAGTGAAAAATTTGAGCGTGATCTCGTTACGAAGGTAGGGATTTCTCAAATATTTAGCAGTGCATGAATCACCTTAATGAAAAAGGTAAAAATATCCCTTTTCAAATGAAGCAAAGAGCTCAAGACCCCTGATGCTGAAGGAAAGAAAAGCATGAGTGAATGACCAAGGCAACCTGTAAGTCCTCTGATAGGGAAATGCAATCCAACCGAATTGGCAAGTAATACTGCAAAGGTTCAGCTGTAGAAAATGAGATTAAAATGTGCAATTTGACTGGATGAGAGACTTGAATTTATGTAAATGCCTGTTTACACCAAGTGCAATGTGACTAAATCACACACAAGTATGAAATATTTGAACAATTTTTGCCAATATTTGAACAAAAATGAGCCATTGTGCTCCGAAAAAAAAGGGTGTCTGAATAAAAGATCGATCATTGTAGTTTAATATTTCGGATTCAAGGCTTATTCACATCAAAAGTGAAAACATTTTGAGTGGAAATAATGCACTCCCTATGGACATTCACAAATAACAAAATTACTTCTTTTTTTTCTCCATCCAGCAACACACCCGTTTTCAGCATTGATAATATAAGAAATGTTTCTTGAGCACCAAATCATATATGAGAAATATATATATTAGGGGTGTAACGGTACAAGTATTCGTATCGAAAATGTTTGGTATGGGTCTTTCGGTTCAGTACGCATGTGTGCCGAACAAATACAGCATTGTTTTAACCACTGCACAAGCAAAACTTAATTGGAAACTTCCAGTTATATATGCTCATTTTTGATAAGAAACCGTTTCATCTTTCAAATGATGTCCTTTTTTTCAGGAAATTCAAACAATAAATGTCATTTTGATGCTCTTTGATGTGCGCGACAGATCGCTGTATAAACGCCTCAGTTCAAACGGCAGCAAGATCATCCCTTCCTCTTTACTATAGTTATAGCATGAAATAACCATGAATGAACATCTCATGCCTCACACAATCAACGTTTCAACCACGGAAACGCGTCAATAAAACAGCTTGTAAACAAAACGTCACGTAGCATTTCATTTACCTCAGGCAGTCATCAGTGTCCACAGCTCGTTAGTGTGCTATAAATTAACTCAAGAGAAGAGCATTTCGCAAGACTTTATATTCATATGATTTTACTTTACCTGTTGGTGATGTCTTAATTATTTAATGTTTAAATAAATCTGTTATGAAAAAGTTGAGAGCCACTGTGTAAATTATTATATTTCAACAAATAAATGTTGAAGTTTATTTAAAAACGGCATTGTGCTTATAAATAGTAATTAAATTTAAGTTTGGGCTCTGTTGTTAATTGTAACCTTATAGTTTGCGTAAGCTGAGGTAGATTTTTATCCCTAAGAATTTTTATTTGTTCAGTAAACCACTGTTTAATAAAAAAAAAAGCTATTTTAGCATTTTTCTCACTCTCCTCATGTTGCTTGAATAGATGCCAAGCTTCAGCTTTTTTTAAACTTTATTCTTATATATTTATTTTTGCCCTTGAAGGAGCACATAAATGCATCATTTGTTGTCGTGCGTGTATTCTAAACATTGTGATTAGGCTTACTTAAAGGTGAGTGCATTATTCATGCATTGTCGACAGGTGTGCGTCTTTCATTCGTAGGTTAGATCAGTAGATTTGTGAGAATAAATCGACAGACTGTGTGGAAAAGAGAAGAAAATGTGTGTGTGGACTCACAGCCAGTGTGGAGCTGCTAGACATTCGGCCCATGTGATCGGCATCTGGGCCAGGACTCCTCTCATCTGGGGTACCGTTGGCCATAAACGCCCTCTGAAGCACACGCTTGGGGGTTTTAGTGAAAGAAAAAGCTCTCGTGACCTAAAACACAAACATGCACAATTAGCCTGTTTTCTACAAAGTTTCTTTGTTTTAACCACTGGGTTAAAAGCGGTTACTTTATGATGCAATTCTCAAGAAAGCCTCCTGAACATTGACAGCATGCATGCGCATCGTGTCATTTTCAATTGTTTCAAGTTCCTCTCCCTACCTTCTTTGACGTTTTTTTGATGGCCCTGGATGCTCGGCTGAGCGTGCTGTCCATGTCCTTTGTGCTCACTTGGACGGAGTCAGGATCGGTGCTCTGAATGAGATCTTCCTGTTTAAGACACGTAAAATTAAATAAATACACAGCGATACTGCTGGCCTGTCAAAATGCAAAAAGAAGCGTCACTGTTCAGCCTTCCAAACAGCTGGGGCTTCTTGATATTCACAGGAGCAGAGATCGAAAGTGGCCATATTTCATGCCGGTGACGTGTGGATAGGTCGCCACCTCATGGCCATTGAGAGAACTGCAGGCCAGGCCGAAACGCATTTAGGCACAGGGTTTGGTCTGGATGTTTAATTATATAGGGAAATACATGCATCTGTCTGCCCTCGTCAATTACGTGCCCCGTTTTGGAAGCCCTGGGGAGGACCTGCGGTTCTGCAGCATGAAGATAAAGACGTCTGCATGTACAATTCCACTCTTAATTAAATTAATTTGGCTTCCAGTTTAACCACACAGGAGCATCTAATAGGATTAGCCAACACCAAAAGGCCCACACAAACCTCCTAATTTATAGCCACAATAAAAAGAAAGAAGAGCTAATAAAATAAATAATTGAGTTCTGTTCCAGACATGAGGGGGATGATCTGAGGAGGAAGTGGCCATGTTTCATGTGTGTGTGTCCGCTCACCGCATCAGCTCGGCAAATCGTGTTGGCCACTTGACGACAGAGTGTTTTGAGCCAGGTGGATTTGAAGGTGTCTTCGGCCGTCAGCTGGAAACTGAATAACAGGTTCTCCTGTTCTGTAGGAGGACGTACCACCAGGGCGAAGGCGTTCTGACACTCTGAGAGAGATAAACGCAAATACATGTGAGAAAATGTGAGGTCAGGGATGTGACCTAGGCTAACCGGTGGAGTTTGTGCTAAAACGTCAGCTGACCACTAGCATAAAATCATGCTCTTTATGATGATACAAGACATTGTTTCAAATCAGTGTTTTGATCATCCTGTCAGGGTTTCTCATAATGACCAGCTGGCTGTACATTAACACTTACATTTTTAAATAAAGTATATTTGTAAAGCATTAAATTCAAACATTAAAATAAAGCCTCTTACTACATGGTTATAAAACATTGAGGTTGAATAAAAAAAAAACTAACTGAAAAATATATTAACTTTTTTACAATGTTAATTGGTTAGGGTCATTGAAGTCAACATAAAACAACATTCACACATCATCTTTAATGTGTTTTCTTTCCAAGTGAAACAATATTCAGTTGGAAACAATGTGAACTATAATATACACAAAGAATATCGGCCAATATATCGATATCGGCCGTTTTTACTCCCTAATATCCGTATCGGCCCTCAAAAAAAAACATTGGTAAACATACCAATTCTTACACTGCAATGTAAATATACATACATAAAGTACATACATTACTAATCAAAAATTAAGTTTTGATGTATTTACAGGAAATTTACTAAATATCTTCATAGAACATGATCTTTACTTAATATCCTAATGATTTTTGGCATAAAAGAAATACATATCACTTTGACCCATACAATGTATTGTTGGCTATTGCTACAAATATACCCCAGCGACTTAAGACTGCTTTTGTTGTCCAAGGTCACATATACATATATATCAGTGCTGAGCAACGATTAAAATTTGTAATAATTAATGAAAAATTTTTTTTTGATTTTCTGCGATTAATCACGATTAATCGCATTATGCACAAAATTCCATAAATTCAAAAGTAGTGTATTGTGCACTCTTCATTTAAAAGTACTGCTATATGAACAAAAGTGCAATAACATTTGGTTTGCAAACACTAAACAAATAAGGTGCTTTTTATTACAGCAGTATTCCTTTTACATAGTAGCAGTTAAAATATTTCTTGTAAATCTCAACTTAATGTCATTAAATTAAATATAAAACCAAAGCTATTTGCCACTGCCAGGGCATTAACGTTTTTATAGAAAATAATTTATATTTTGTTATAGAAAAACAAGTTATGCTCAGAGTCCAGAGCCTCGATGATAACATTACAACAGGCACCTTCTGAGTAGAGAACTGCACGTGGGACCCAACGCAGCAGAGTGCGGCGCGGGACAACACTTGATGGGCGAGTAGAGACTCGTGTGGGATCTGGGAGAATAAGGGTGTACTCACACTAGGCAATCTTAACCGTGCCCGAGCGCGTTTGACCCCCAAAGCCCGGTTCATTTGACTAGTGTGATCGCTCTGTGCCGCGCTTGGGGCTCGGTTCGTTTAGCCGTCCCTGGCTCAGTTGGAAGAGGTGGGCCAGAGTGCGGTTCAGTTATATATAGATCTGTGAGTGTGAGTGCTAACCCCGCCGGAGCACGGAACTTCTGATAACTGCATCACGATTGCGTATATATATTGCGAGAGGGCCATGTGTCACTGCGTCCCAAACTACTCAAAATAATAAACCACAAAGTTAACAAAACGATACACTCCACTGTGCTGAACGAGAGCGCTTCTCTGCTGTCTTCATGTGCCATGGGAAACTTCCCATTTCCCACTTATGAAGTCGTGATTACGAGCACGTTCAGAGCCAGTGAGCAACGGGCTTTCATAATAATAATAATAAACTGCGTTAATGCTTGATAAAATAATTGTTGGCGTTAATTAATGCGTTAACGTGATAACGCATTAACTTGCTCAGCCCTAATATACATTTAATTTTTGATGTACTCTTGCTTGAACTGTTTTTTATTGGTGGAAGCTTTGCGTTTGTTTAGCTAATAAAAAAAATTATTACTAATTATTTACTTGTGGCAAGTAGCTGTGTAATAAGTGGGATAATGTACATCCAGCTGGTTATCTCAGAATAAACCCTTTACCATATTTTACTGTTAAAATTCTGTTGTAATTCCTTGCACTGTATCCTGGCCAGCTCTATAGTGAAGTGACACACTTTACACATAACTAGACTTCACCTCCCTCTCCAGGGTACTAATTCAGAACACAGAAAACTAAAATATGCACGAGTGCACTTGCTGGGATGCAGAATGCCGTGTGGTCCCCTCACCTTCTGTGTCTTGGATGTCAAGGACTCTTCTGATCTGGGACAGAGGCATCAGGGCTATGTGTTTGAGCTGGGCTGGTGGCCGCGTCTGACCCAATGGACTCCGGAAAGTGGTTATGACCTTGTGTCTCTTCCTGGCAATCTGAATATGAAGATGCAGAAGGAAAAAGCACACACACACACTAAACTCTTAATACATGCAGCTTTCTTCATAATGCAGGAATGTAAAATGTCCTCTCCTGTTCTCAGGTGGAACAGTTGGGAATCCTTCAGGTGCTTTAGTGGAGCCGAAATGTGTAATGCAGATTGGGGTGACAGATACGCATACAGAGGACTTCCTAAAATGAATAATTAATCACTCAGAGTCTTCCCTTCTCCCTGCTCTCATTACCAGGCCAGAGCCAGTATTGGTCGAAGATGACCACAGCCGTGCACCAGCATGCCAGCAACCCCTCCAGTGCTTAAATGCATTCCCCTCACTAATTAGGGAAACAGGCCAGAGAGTCGAGTCAGCAAGCACAGATTGCACACGCATAAATTATTAACTTTTTTTTTTAGTGATACCGCTCACCCGTGAACTGAACAAACAATCATTGTGGTTGCTGACAATTTGGAGAAGAAAACGGAAAGAAATTTAGGGACGAGCTGATGGTTAAACCGAGGAATCAGAGATGAGGGAAGACCAAAATTATGACAAAGATGTTCAAGAAGAAAAAAAAATAAATGGGAAACTCCCTAAAATTTTGAAATCTAGTTCAAATGCACTTGCTAGTCTCTCAGAAAGGTAATATTCAAAAATGTTCATAGATTTATTGAATACATGCATCGTTGTTTTTGTTTTTTTTACACATTATAAAAGTGAAAAGTATTTTACGAATATAAATAATTGTATCATGAATTTTATGGTGTTTTCTTGGGGTTATACTAGTTGTATTTGAAACTGAACTAAGCTTGTTTTATCATAAAAAGGTAAAACTTTTTGATTTTGACATATTACACATGTTGCACACATATTGACACTGGATGCAACATATGCCTCGTTTGTAATGGGTTTTATCTCGTCGTGCCGGGAGACGGCATCACAGTATGGTAAGGGGTGTAACATTTCCGTCACACGCTTGATGTATTCAGCCAATCACAACGCACTGGATAGCTGGCCAATCAGCGTACACCTCGCTTTTCAGAATGATGAGCTTTGTAAAAATCGACGCGTTTCAGAAAGGCGGGGCATAGAGAAGAAACAATAATGTACATTATGTGGAAAATAATGTTTTTTTAACCTTAAACCGCATAAACACATTGCATTACACCAAATACACAACATAATCTTTTTTTTTTTTAGCAACGTCATAAGACCCCTTTAATGTTTTTGAATATTTAATAAAAAATGTCAATTGAAAACGACTGGAAAGATCGAGATACATACACACACAAACAATAAATGTCACTTAATGGATCCACAAACTAACTGTGGATAGCTCCAACGTGCAGTAAATCTGATACTTGACATTCAGTTAGATGAAATCAATTTAATAGTATATTCAAATGCAATGTGGGTGTAATAATAACAATATTGAGAAACTAACTAGCAGATTGACAAAATAAGGCATTCATTAATCTAATACCATAAGCAAGACCAGAGATCAAGATTAATGTCTTTCATATAGTGGCACTGTTTGGTACACCGTTCAAACTAGGCTGCTTATGTTGAAGTGTTTGGGATGTGGCTTTTAATGATGAGACCTTTTTTTGTAATCAGGCTCTCAAAAAGTATATAACAATTTGGATATAGATTTATCGGCCAACATATCGGTTATCGGCTTTCAAAAATAAAGAATAATCGGTATCGGCCAAAATTTTCATATCGGTGCATCCCTACTTTATACACGGTGCACTTTCAGATTTAAAACTTTGCAGGACGTTTTCATTCACTTAGAGCTGTTACACACTGCATGAAAGGTAATTTTCAAAATCCCATAATAGGGGCACTTTAAAATAGCCATATTATAAACATTTGTTAGCATTTTATTTAGTTCTTGAAGTCCACTTACAATGTTAGTCAAGGTTTCTAGCACCATAAAGACAAATTTCACAAACAGTTCTGCCCATTTCTGCTACTGTAGCTTTAAAATTAGAAATGTACCTTTAACATCTATATGTCCTCTGCTATGATTGGCTATCCTCAGTTTTAAAATTGTCAAATAATAAATTGGTATTGGGATGTAAACGGACAGTCATGTGTCATGGTTCTGACCGTGATTATTTTCTGAATGACCTGTTTTCATAGCTTAGCCTTCATGGTCTGGGTGGACTGGCAGGGGAGAATTGCTTGGTGAATGTTATTACTCATTACAGCATACGCTTATTTCAAAAGGGCGAGACAAAATCCCATGGGTCACTCACAATATGGTAACTTCAGTTCTTTTGGTTGGGACATAGAAAATGTGGGAAGTTATTTGAGAGCTGCGACAGAGGGTGACGACTTTCAGAATATATCATCTTCCATTGCGATTTGTTGACTCAAAGACTTGGAATATAGCACTACTTATATGAAGGCACGTAAATGACTGAATTGTGGGTGATTTATTTCTTTGAACTCAACTGAGATTTGTGTAAATATAAGATGTTTGCAGAAAAGTGAAAAATTACTCACAGGGCAGCCGTCCACTTCATAAACAACATCAAAAATCTGCTTCTGTCCCTCTGTTTTCCTTTTATCCTCATTTATGTGGCTGTGAAAATTAAGACGGAGCGAGAATAGTAAAGAAATCTTTGGCTAAAAGTTACCATTATAGTAAATGATTTCAACCCTCCAAAGCAGTTTCGGTTGACACTGAAAATAAATTTTTGCAGAATATTTTCGAATGCCAAAATTTCATTGCATTACTAGTTTATTTTGAGAGAAAAAATTAGGGGTTAGCCGCAGAACTTACGTCATCACTTCCTTGAGAGACTCGATAGCCTTTTCCAGGGTTACTTTATCTGGGTTGTCATCTGATGTATGTTTCTTTATATCTACGAAGAACAAAATTCCCTATAAATCTTTCTTACGTCAGCATACAGAGATGAAACATAACACACCTGCTAAAGAATAACGCGTTTGCATGTTTTCTAAAGTTGACCAAGTTTACTACAAACTTTTTTTTTTTTCATGTAATGGATTCATTTATGAAAGTGAATCAAACCACCTCCACGGTATCTTTTTAAAATATTTAAATAATCAGGATTCAGACAGATTTACTGAATAGAAACAGCTTGAACCCATTACCTGAATCAAACTAACAGTCGTATTTATGTATTACCGTTCAGTAAGAGGGCAACACTTGGCAGTCTCTGCACAGGACGAATCAAAAGTTCAACAAGAGTCTGACGGCCACACTCGGGTTTAGCCTGATTAATCTGGATAACAAAATGAGAGAAAACATGCAAATAAATGGTCTTCACGAAAAATGACCATACAAACCAACTCAAATTTATACTAGTGATTCATCATATTTTGACTATATTTTTACTATTAGCACTCTAAATATATTGGAGAAAAGAAAATAGACACCCTGAGGTCAGACTTCTTTTACTTAAACTTTTATATCTTTTAAATTACTTCAACAATATATCAGTCTCTATATAATACAGATGTCTTTATATACACTAAAAAGAGATGACAGTACCTTCAGGAACGCATGAAACCTCGGCTTCTGTCTCTCACATCTGACTATGGTCTCTTTGCTCATCTCAAAGAAGTTGACAAATGGTGGGTAGGCCTTCACCAAATCTCTAGACTGAAAGAGAATTTTAAAAATAAAGAGACCACAAAAGCTTTCATTCATTCTTTGACGGCATTGTGAACTTCATGCCGGAAGAGGTCGAGTTCAAAGCTTCATCACACTCACATATTTCAGGATAATGTCTCCAACGCTCCTCTCTTCAGACCAGTTCATCACCAACTCCTCAAGATCCGCCTGTCAAAGCACATTCATCAGCTAATATGTTCAGCACAGCCTTTACTCAGCGTTTTGGAAAGGTTAGTGCCTACCTTTATTCTCGTGTGCACGTCATAGATGTCTGGAATACTGCCAAAAATGGTCTTGATCTCTTCCTGAGCTAGAATAGGGCCGCCCACCTGCCCCTCTTTCTCCAGGGGGTATTTGAAGAGCTGAAAGAACCGACCAACAAAGGAAATTAGATCACTAAGCTAGAATGGACCCCGAGATTCTCACTAATGGTGCAGGACTTGACAGTAGAGGTCTGCATTCCTGCGGGATCACTAAAGGATTTGATTAGATTTGTTGCAGCGCAGGACTAAACCTCTGATTTCTAGGTATGAGAGGGTGCTATTTCTAAGAGATGTCAGCCAAAGTGGACTGCCTGATAGAAGAGTGGAGCAGCAGTTTTTAGTATTTTTCAGCCTTTTGACAATCTTAAAATAAACCCTAAACAACGGGACATTAGAAACTACCACTCAAAAGGTGGGATTGATAAGAATACGTTTCTTATGCTTACCAAGGCTGCATTTGATCAAAAATAATCAAAACAGTAATTTAAACTTCTATTTGAATATACTTCAAATGTAATATATTCCTGTGGTGGCAAAGTTGAATTTTCAGCAGCCATTATCCAATATGATTCTAATTATCATCAATGTTTTTTTTTTCAGTATCCTTTCAGGAATTTAAAAGAAAAGTTTAAAATTAAAATCATTTATTTAAAACAAATCTTTTGCACATTATAATGCCTTGACTTTTGATCAGATGAATGCATCCCTGCTGAATAGAAGCAATAAGGAAAATAAATAAATAAAATAAATAAAATTACAAATTACAAGTAGCAAAATACAAAAAATAATTAAATATTTAATTAAACGGTTGAGAACATTCAACATGGAAACAAAGTACAGTTCTGCAAGAGTGGAATTAAACTGGGAAAATCAGTTCTGTTCAGACCTCTACTTGACAGCTACTCCATAAACTTAATGAAGATCCAGTGGACCACAATGGAAAGGTCAGGCTATTCAGTATTGCCTGATGATCTGACTCCACTGTTCAGTGAAATTTGCTGGGCTCTGATTGTGGGCATATGATGTGGCATTTACTATGCAAGCAGACACAGAAGTATGTGTGTGTGTGTGTATGAGCTCCACATGTAAGGGTGCAAAGCAAAGCTCAAATGTCCATGGCATTGGTGTCCAAATCTAATTAATTTTCCCCCTACTGGTCAGAGGCACTGGTTCAGTTTGATAAGGCCACAGCCAGGTACTGTGAACTGCCACTTTCCTATGTGTGTGTATGTAAGGAGAAAGAGAACACACAAGAGACACACTGAACACAAACCTGCAGGACCGTGGCCAGGATATCAACATAGTTGCTCTCAGTTTGGTAGAGCTCCTTGGAGACCTGCCAGCGTGCTGACTGCTTAGGAAGGGCGGGAGTTGAGCTTTTGGGGGGTTTGGCATTCTCTGAAACACATAAGCAGAGATGCAGGGATGAGCAGCTATAAATCTTCCTCAGGTATATTTCATCCTTGTTCTCAAAATATCTGTTCCAAAAAAAAGAAAAAAAGAAAGTGTAATATGAGTCACAATTGGCGATGTTTTAGATACAAGGGAATGTTCAATTTAACTTAAATAAATCAAAAATATAAAATAATAAAAATCAACCTGGGCTCATAGTAAAGAGTAAAATGCATTGTTATATCAGTTAACCTGAATTAAGTTCAGTTTTAAGCCATAAATAATTTGAGTTTAGTAAAGATGATTCAATTAATTTGAGTACTTTCTTTTGCTGTTAGCTAAATCTAAACATTTTCTGTGGTTATCCACGTTGCCACAAATGAGTATAAGCTGTATTGAACCTGGAACATTCCTTGAATAAACAAACAAAACAAAAAAACTACAACACACACGAATAATTTACTTTTGAAGAGAAAAAAAGATAAATGTGTTCAATTTGAGCAATCACCTTTTCTACACATTAATAGCATAGATTAATGTTTACGTTCATCCTAAACCCTGGGCTAAAGTTACTATGAATGTCACCTGTCTGGTCTGTTTCCTGTCTGCACACAGGAGTGCTGGTACGCTGCAGTGGCCACTGTTTCTCTGATCTACTCTGTCTGGCACTCCTCCGCCTACCGCTGCTCCTCCTGCACCTGCGCTCTGCAAAACACAGCGGCCTCACTCATCTAAAACACATCCCGACTCACCTCAGCCCTGCCTGGGATCACCCTGGACCCCAGAGATCAAAGTCTAGAGAGCTCTGGAACACTCTCACATAATGCAATGGGAACTTTGCAAACTTTTCAGACAACCAAAAGAGTTTTTTTTTTTTTTAGGTTAGACTATTCTTCTGTTCGTTTGTTTAACCCATGGAAGACGGGTGAGTGTTACATTATTTGTTTGCTTGTCACGTCATATCATTCATTTCACCTCCACTGGATTTGCAGGTGTCAGGTGTGTTGGAGAAGTCCAGCAGGGAGCCCATGGAGAGGGAGTGCTCAGCTGAGGGTCTCTTGCGCGGTGGGAAGGGAGAAATCTCTGTCTCCTTGGTGAGCTGAGCCAATGTTTCTCTAAGACGGCGACGTTTCCTGCCACTGTTGGGTGTCGTGAGAGACAGCAGAGAGACAGCCTTCTTCATCACAGGACTCTCCGGCTGAGAGGAAGACATGAAGACAACAGATATGAGTGTACTGCTTTTGATAAGCTGTAAAATCAATTTCGAGTCTTTACTAAATCTGACCACACTTTTCACTGTATTCAGAAGATAAACTACTGAAGAAAAAAGACCCCCACATTATTACTATTTTCCACATTTTGTGACCTTACACTTGGTCCAAACCTGTGAGTTTCTTCTATTAGCACAAAAGATGATATTTTGAAGAATCTTCTATGGAAGTCAATGGCTACCGCCAACTGTTTGGTTACCAACATTTAAAAAAAAATATCTTGAACCATCCATTTTATGAAGCATCATGGGATCATTTTTAAACTATACTTTTTCCTTTTTTAATTAAAACTTAACTTACAATTTTTTTTGCATTATTACGCATAAACAACATATTTAAAAAAAAAAAAAATTTATAAAAAAAGCTAATTATAGCAAAACATTTGCTTTAAAGCAAAAATAATATTTGAATAAAAAGAATTTCAAAAAGAATACGAGGGGAGAAGATTCAAAAATACTGAGCTTAGTTTAGCAGCAATTCCCATTTCCAAAAATCAACCTGGGCTCATAGTAAAGAGTAAAATGCATTGTTATATCAGTTAACCTGAATTAAGTTCAGTTTTAAGCCATAAATAATTTGAGTTTAGTAAAGATGATTCAATTAATTTGAGTACTTTCTTTTGCTGTTAGCTAAATCTAAACATTTTCTGTGGTTATCCACGTTGCCACAAATGAGTATAAGCTGTATTGAACCTGGAACATTCCTTGAATAAACAAACAAAACAAAAAAACTACAACACACACGAATAATTTACTTTTGAAGAGAAAAAAAGATAAATGTGTTCAATTTGAGCAATCACCTTTTCTACACATTAATAGCATAGATTAATGTTTACGTTCATCCTAAACCCTGGGCTAAAGTTACTATGAATGTCACCTGTCTGGTCTGTTTCCTGTCTGCACACAGGAGTGCTGGTACGCTGCAGTGGCCACTGTTTCTCTGATCTACTCTGTCTGGCACTCCTCCGCCTACCGCTGCTCCTCCTGCACCTGCGCTCTGCAAAACACAGCGGCCTCACTCATCTAAAACACATCCCGACTCACCTCAGCCCTGCCTGGGATCACCCTGGACCCCAGAGATCAAAGTCTAGAGAGCTCTGGAACACTCTCACATAATGCAATGGGAACTTTGCAAACTTTTCCATAAACCAAGAGTTTTTTTTTTTTTAGGTTAGACTATTCTTCTGTTCGTTTGTTTAACCCATGGAAGACGGGTGAGTGTTACATTATTTGTTTGCTTGTCACGTCATATCATTCATTTCACCTCCACTGGATTTGCAGGTGTCAGGTGTGTTGGAGAAGTCCAGCAGGGAGCCCATGGAGAGGGAGTGCTCAGCTGAGGGTCTCTTGCGCGGTGGGAAGGGAGAAATCTCTGTCTCCTTGGTGAGCTGAGCCAATGTTTCTCTAAGACGGCGACGTTTCCTGCCACTGTTGGGTGTCGTGAGAGACAGCAGAGAGACAGCCTTCTTCATCACAGGACTCTCCGGCTGAGAGGAAGACATGAAGACAACAGATATGAGTGTACTGCTTTTGATAAGCTGTAAAATCAATTTCGAGTCTTTACTAAATCTGACCACACCTTTCACTGTATTCAGAAGATAAACTACTGAAGAAAAAAGACCCCCACATTATTACTATTTTCCACATTTTGTGACCTTACACTTGGTCCAAACCTGTGAGTTTCTTCTATTAGCACAAAAGATGATATTTTGAAGAATCTTCTATGGAAGTCAATGGCTACCGCCAACTGTTTGGTTACCAACATTTAAAAAAAAAAATATCTTGAACCATCCATTTTATGAAGCATCATGGGATCATTTTTAAACTATACTTTTTCCTTTTTTAATTAAAACTTAACTTACAATTTTTTTTTGCATTATTACGCATAAACAACGTATTTAAAAAAATAATTTTTTTATAAAAAAAAGCTAATTCGACTCACCTCAGCCCTGCCTGGGATCACCCTGGACCCCAGAGATCAAAGTCTAGAGAGCTCTGGAACACTCTCACATAATGCAATGGGAACTTTGCAAACTTTTCAGACAACCAAAAGAGTTTTTTTTTTTTTTAGGTTAGACTATTCTTCTGTTCGTTTGTTTAACCCATGGAAGACGGGTGAGTGTTACATTATTTGTTTGCTTGTCACGTCATATCATTCATTTCACCTCCACTGGATTTGCAGGTGTCAGGTGTGTTGGAGAAGTCCAGCAGGGAGCCCATGGAGAGGGAGTGCTCAGCTGAGGGTCTCTTGCGCGGTGGGAAGGGAGAAATCTCTGTCTCCTTGGTGAGCTGAGCCAATGTTTCTCTAAGACGGCGACGTTTCCTGCCACTGTTGGGTGTCGTGAGAGACAGCAGAGAGACAGCCTTCTTCATCACAGGACTCTCCGGCTGAGAGGAAGACATGAAGACAACAGATATGAGTGTACTGCTTTTGATAAGCTGTAAAATCAATTTCGAGTCTTTACTAAATCTGACCACACTTTTCACTGTATTCAGAAGATAAACTACTGAAGAAAAAAGACCCCCACATTATTACTATTTTCCACATTTTGTGACCTTACACTTGGTCCAAACCTGTGAGTTTCTTCTATTAGCACAAAAGATGATATTTTGAAGAATCTTCTATGGAAGTCAATGGCTACCGCCAACTGTTTGGTTACCAACATTTAAAAAAAAATATCTTGAACCATCCATTTTATGAAGCATCATGGGATCATTTTTAAACTATACTTTTTCCTTTTTTAATTAAAACTTAACTTACAATTTTTTTTGCATTATTACGCATAAACAACATATTTAAAAAAAAAAAAAATTTATAAAAAAAGCTAATTATAGCAAAACATTTGCTTTAAAGCAAAAATAATATTTGAATAAAAAGAATTTCAAAAAGAATACGAGGGGAGAAGATTCAAAAATACTGAGCTTAGTTTAGCAGCAATTCCCATTTCCATAGTAACAGCGATAACTTTGATTGGTGGACATCAATAAAGGATTGTGGGTAGTGTAGTTTACTAATTAAATCACAAATTCTTAAAAAAAAGAAAAAAAAACTTCTCTAAATAAGTGAAATTAATGGAATTTGTACTTCCACACCCCAAATGCAGTGATTTCCTCACCTTTTCGTAAGAGTACATGATTTCCCCAGCACGGGCGTCCATTTGTATACTGCCCCAAAACCACTGCAGAAAGACACAAAATGAGAAATAAAATGAGATGCAGCATTCATTTAAAACATTTCAGCTGAACCCTTTATTAACACCTTAATACTGATGCATTTATGATCGTAATGGAGCTACCAAAACTCCTGATGTCTGCCAAAAAAAAAAAAAAAAAACACTCCCACTCCCCGCAACCTACTAGATAATGGACTACGCACAGGAAAGCAGAGTAAAATAACAGAGCATTTTTAAACACTCTATTAAAGGACCCACACAAAGCCCAGTGTGTGTGTTTCTGTGTCTGTACTTGTGAGACGTGTAAAGCCAGCACGGGCGTCCATTTGTATACTGCCCCAAAACCACTGCAGAAAGACACAAAATGAGAAATAAAATGAGATGCAGCATTCATTTAAAACATTTCAGCTGAACCCTTTATTAACACCTTAATACTGATGCATTTATGATCGTAATGGAGCTACCAAAACTCCTGATGTCTGCCAAAAAAAAAAAAAAAAAACACTCCCACTCCCCGCAACCTACTAGATAATGGACTACGCACAGGAAAGCAGTGTAAAATAACAGTGCATTTTTAAACACTATTATTAAGGACCCACACAAAGCCCAGTGTGTGTGTTTCTGTGTCTGTACTTGTGAGACGTAAAGCCAAGTTCATACCTCCTGCTTCACTACATAGAGCCTTTTGGAGGGAGTAAAGGGCAGTTCTTTAATGGAGTTCTCCTCAACTACCAAGTGGGTGCACCTTGCATCACCCACTGCCTGGAACCGTCCACCTGGACAAAACAAGCAGTACACACTCCTTTAAAAATCCCCCTCATTCAGAAATCGGGCCATTTGCTTTAACAGAGAAGGTATAGCAATAAAATACAGAAGTACGTCCTGGAGTCAACATCTCAGTTGCATCAGAGTGAAAGGCTTTGGTTAATCGAGAATTATTTGAGCAGAGGTTTTGTGACTTATTAAACCATGAAACGTTTCAGACTTGTTTCAGAAAGGACACTGATGCATGAGAGTCCAGTACCGTGTTTCTGCGTCCTCTCCTCCATGTTGGTTTTCTCCTCTTCAGAGAAGCCCAGAAAGCTCAGGACGCAGTCCTGGAACGGAGGGACCTTAAACTCGGTGCGGAACTCCTCGTTGCCTGCATGGAAATTACTAAAGCCAAAAAAGAAGGAAAAAAATAAGAAATCATACACACCTCAAAACAAAAAACTCTGAACATAGTTTTGGGAGTTTCTGAAAACAATTCTGACTAATAAAATCAAGCAGCGTAATTTTGTTAGTGTTAAAAATATTACAATTCTATTTGAACTTGACATTAGGGGTGGGCGATATACTGGTAGACACGATTAACCGGTAGACACGATTAACCGGTAGAAATTCTCTCTCTATCGTGGTTACACGCTCACGTGACGTTGCTGTGCTACGTGGTCATGAGAACTTATCGCTTGCATGCATTTTTAAGTATTATGGTTTAAAAACAAGTGATTTTAAGCTGCTGAAACGCAATCAGTCAGAGAGGTACGAGCACGTGAAGACAGTGCTCATAGAGCGCGGAAGTATTGAACAGAGTTATTTTTACCGCTTTATAGGCCTTAAACGGTTAAATACACACTTGTATGTGTCAAAATGCCAGTCTTTGCAAATATCCTCATAAACTGTCATTTAGGTCTTAAGTGAAAGCAAACAGCTGAGAAAGAAAACACGTATAACTAATATATATATATATATTCGACAGTGAAGAATATTCAGTGTTTATACATTTGATAACTTTATACAATGTATGTAGCATTTCTTATTTATTTGTTCTACTGTAGTTTTTTTATTTGCTTGTAATTAGTTTATTTAATCAGTGAACTTGGTGTTTTTTTTTTTACTTGGGCTAGTATTAGTTTTTTGTGATAGTGACACTGGTGACAATAATTATGAAAGTTCTATGATATCAAAAATGTATTACATAAAGACCTTATTTAAAGCAAAAATAACTATATCGTGATATATATTGTTACCCCAAGATAAAATTACTCGTATCGTGATATAAGATTTTGCTCAGATCACCCACCCTAATTGACATGCAGTACAGACGCTACACAATTAACCTTTAAAATCATCATGAAACAGAACTTCAACTCATTTTATTGCTAACACCCTATTTAGCTTGGAATGCATCAAATTATGGAAGTGGGCATTCCACATTAGAATGCAGAAAGACCTGGGCCATGATACAAAAAGACGAAAGCCATGAGAACATCCTGATTGTTCATTTTCAAAATATATAATTGAGTGTTATTGTAAATACAAATTTAAAAAGTTGTTATACTTCAAAAGACTTATAAAGCGTACTTAGTCAATTTTATTATTAGTTAATATTTGTATTCATAATATTAAGATGTGCTGTTCACAAATTAAATTATTGGATAAATTAAATCGTTACCAAGTCAGTGCAAATTATTGAAAATACTGATTTTGCATTACATTTATCTTTTCTCTACTGATGTTCGATGCACAGACATAACTTTAATAGCTTTAAAAAAATAATAATTTTTGTAAAGCTTAATTGTGAACCCCCTAGAACAGGGTTCCTCAAATCTTGCCCTGGAGGGCCAATGCGCTGCAGAGTTTAGCTCCAAGCCTGACCAAACTCACCTACCTGTGATTTTCTTATGATCCTGAAGACACTGATTAGCATGCTCAGGTGTGTTTGATTAGGGTTAGAGCTAAACTCTACAAGAAAGTGGATCTCGTGGGCCAGATTTGAGGATACCTGCCCTAGAACAATGGTTCCTAAACTGGGACAATTTTCAAAGGCCCTGCTTAAATTTACCTTTGGTACATTTGTTGAAATAAAAATGAAGTAAAAAAGGATGTCAGTTTAATGTTGTACATCTTTAATTTGAGTGATTTAACATTTATTTAGGATTATGTTAAAGGGGAGATCTACTGCCATGTCATGCATTCTGACTTATTTACTGCCAAAGAGTTGGATTCTCATGCTAAACATGACCAAAGTCTCAAAAAACAAGTTTTGTATTTCTGGATGTATTTGTATTTCAAGATGTATTTCTGTGCCAAATAACTTTGTATAAGTTTCGGAAAGTTTTTTTCGAGGATGGCCCTGCATGACGTCATAAAGAGCAGAATTCCTTGAATGGGCACTTCTGCCGGAAGAGCACACACACATCAACCAGAGTAAGAGCATCAGCGTGCTTCATTCGGGTTATGGAAGCCGTCGGGATCAGAGTCTGGATCGAATATATATGGCTGGATCTGATTTATAGCCATAGTTAATTTAAGTCAAAGTTGTTCCGGTTTTATTTATGTCGATGTCACAGCTTGGAGACGATCGCTACGCAAAAGCTTTGCATGCTCATGACTCTTTAGCTCCCCACGCACGCCTCCATGAGTTTGACTGTTTTTGGAGTGAAGAGTAAAGCTGTACCTTTTTTTTATAAATCTGATCAAACTAAAGAATCTTCGGAGATTTGAAGGATGCAATACTACTCCATAGGTACGTAAGATTAACCTGAGAATGTCAGAAACATTTTTTCGAGGATGGCCCTGCATGACGTCATAAAGAGCAGAATTCCTTGAATGGGCACTTCTGCCGGAAGAGAGTTCTCCATGAGTTTGACTGTTTTTGGAGAGAAGAGTAAAGCTGTACCTTTTTTTTTATAAATCTGATCAAACTAAAGAATCTTCGGAGATTTGAAGGATGCAATACTACTCCATAGGTACGTAAGATTAACCTGAGAATGTCAGAAACGGTGTGCGTTATGTCCCCTTTAATATAACTAAATTTAAATCATTTTAAGACTTATTGGCACCCCTATGGAAGTGTGCTGAGGCCCCTTGGTAAGAACCACTGCCCTAGAACTCTCTTGCAGCTTCCTGCAGTTCCCATTTAAAAAGTCCTGGCATAAAACAATAACCAGATTTATATCTGGCTTTTTCAGGGTTTCTGCAGGTTTTGTGAAAGCAAATTTAAGACTTTTTAAGAACAAGTAAATAAATTTTAAGGAATAAATCAAACGGAACATAATACATCAATTTGTTCTTTAAAAATAAAAACTTTGAAAATACAACTTCCTAGAACCACTGCCCTAGAACTCTCTTGCAGCTTCCTGCAGTTCCCATTTAAAAAGTCCTGGCATAAAACAATAACCAGATTTATATCTGGCTTTTTCAGGGTTTCTGCAGGTTTTGTGAAAGCAAATTTAAGACTTTTTAAGAACAAGTAAATAAATTTTAAGGAATAAATCAAACGGAACATAATACATCAATTTGTTCTTTAAAAATAAATGTCTAGTGAGTACACAATGAGTTGTATTAGCAAAACTTTGAAAATACAACTTCCTACCGATCTCCATAACTTTTTAAATCATTATACAAAAAAAAAAAAAAGTTTAAGGTTTGAATACCTCTGCTCCCAACCACTAGAATATGAAAATAACTTTTACTGTACCTTCAGATCATCACACCGCAAAAAGTGATGGTCTTGCTTAGCATACTTGTCTTGTTTTCCAGTGCAAATGTTAAAGATTCTTAAATCACGATACATTTACTTGAGAAGCAAAATGGCATAAATCTTGTTGTGGCATGGCATAAGTGAGTTTGCTTAAAAAGAACAAATATCTACCAATGGACTTAAGAAAAAAATTAATTCAAAGGGAAAATAAGTTTTCATACTCCTTTTACAGATATTTGTTCTTGTTTACTAAATTTAAGTGGGTTCAGTTTCTCAGAAAATCGTAATTTTTCATCTGAAGTAAACGTATCTTGATTTAAAGATGTTTAGATATTTCTTTTGGAAAACAAGACAAAAACACTGAGGATGATATTTATTTTTAGCAATGCAACATTTAATGCCATGACTTTATTAATTTAAGACTTCCTGCTCTGATTTAAGACTTTTTAACACCTTAATTCCTGGAAGGGTGAATTAAGACTTAACGGGCTTATCGACTGAAAATCTGACTTTTTCAGTGTTTAAGTGCTATAACTGAATGTCCGGTGCATCTACCCAGTATTAAAAAAAAAATTCCCCTTCAGAATACCATGCACTGATGCATCCTGCATAATAAGACCAGAAACAAGGACAGTACAAGGTCAATTTGGATTTCAAATTGACTTTAAGTCTGTCTCCTTTAACAGTGGCAGGTCATTCATGTGAAAGGTCAGGTTCAGTGTTCAATACATGTATGGAAAATGTCAAAACCAAAGTGCAGTGGAAACCGCTTTTAATATGGAAGCAGGGAGGGCCCGTTTGGTGTTTCATGATTTCAGCCTCATCATTCACAGTTTTTACTCCTCTGTACTCACACAGTGAGGGGGATTGACGCAAGGGGTAGTTTCATGCCTCACACACACAATCTTACATGTCATCTCTGTGCTCCCATGCCTTGTGTATCCATTCAGGGGTGAGGATGGGTGTGCCCATGCACACTGCCAACTAAAAAGAAAAAAAAGAGACAAAAGGCAGTGAATAGCATCTGGAGGGAAGAGATCCCTCACCAAATCTTGATCCATGCATTATGCATGAGACTAATGAATGATTCAGCACACTGTGAGGAGAGATACATGAGAACGGTTTTAATCAAACCCTCTCTAAATAACGCAGACATGTCAACTGCAGACAGTAGACCCAGTTAGGGACAGCACACCTGGGGTTTGAGGAACCATCAGGAAATAGCCATCACTGACCAAAAGACAAAAGGCTCTTCATACAGGCTGAGTTTTAAGAATTAACACATTAATGTAAATAAAAGGTAATAAAATCATTTAAACAGTTTTGGTGACTGACCTTCTTCAAACACAAGAGTTCAAAGGTTTCTGGGATTCAAAGGTGAGAAGGAATTCAACCAATTTCTGCTGAACATTTACAGTAGTCTCACATCACCTGACTCTACAATCCTACATATTCTGGTCAAGAACCACCCACTGTGACAGGAAGAGATGCAAAGTGGTATGATCAAGTTAATTCGTCTTTAGACTGGAGTATATAGTGGAGTGACTAAGTGATTTGATTTGATGTGTGTCATTACAGCAGGGTGAGTCAGAAAGGATTTCACAACTAAAAATCTGTTGTTTTTTTGTTTTCTCCTCAGCTGATTCAATATACAGAAAAAACAGTGGGGCGGAAGGATGATATGTATGTGTGGATACGGTGGATACATACCCTGTACTTTTCACCATGTGATGAACGGGCGATGAGGTGTGTGACTTTAGCGCTGTCAAAGTCTTTTCGGATGGTGCCGCCCATGTGATGGACGAGATTTACCAGGGTAACCTGAGGAAAAGCACAGATAATTAGAGCAAATAATCCGACAGTGACACTATGGGCTGCTTTTGAGTCAGATGAGTGGGTAAGCAGGACTCACCACTTCATCTTTTTTACGGAATCCGGTGAAGCAGAGAGACAAGTTGAGCATGGTCATTGAGTAGAGAGGCCTGGAGGAGAACGGCAGAGGCTATGGACAAGGACATGGAGAATGATGGAATATATCATTAATATGCCTCAATCACAGCAATCTGAGAATGCACACTAAAAAAAAAAAAAACTATGCCACAAGGAGGTTTATATCATATCATAATTGGAGATAAAGTGAATATACATCATAGGATATATGATATATATTTTTATCATATATCATAATAGGAGGTCTTTTGCATATAGAAGTCTTACAGTACAGTAGCAGAAATGAATTACAAGCAATACTGTAGCTCCTAAGCAAACACTAATAGTATTTATTAAATTATAAAATATAATTTAATTATTTTTTATAATCATTTTAAAATGTAACAAGCACAGGCAGCAACAATAACAAGTGAGCATCAAAGCAGCATATTAGAATGATTTCTGAAGTATCGTGACACTGATTACACTGAAGAAATTCAACTTTGCCATCACAGAAAGAAATATATATATAAAAAATATTTTTTACATTGCAAAAATATTTCACAATATTACTGATTTATTGTATTTTTGACCAAATAAATGCAGCCTTGCCAAGAGATTTTTTTTTCAACAACATATAAAAATTTTAATTATTTAAAACTTTTGGTCGCCAGTGTATATATTATTTTATTACTTGTATTATTTTAATAATTAAAAAAAATGTATTTTTTTTAATTATACATTTTAAATGAATAAGTATAAATAAAAATATGTATACATAAAATATATACATTTTTCATTTAATTTTGTGTGCGTGTATGTATGTGTACACACACACACACAGTCAAAAGTTTGGGATCAGAATGATTTTTAATGTATTTTACAGGAGTTTCTTATGCTCATCAAGGCCGCATTTATTTGATTAAAAAATACAGGAAAATTTTAATATTGTGAAATACTATTATGATGTAAAATTTCTATTTTAATATACATTAAAATCTCATTTATTCCTGTGATGCAAAGCTGAATTTTCAGCATCAATACTCCAGTCTGTAGTGTCACGTGATCCCTCAGAAATCATTCTAATATGCTTTATTTATTATCAGTGCTGGAAACTGTTGTGCTGCTTAATATTTTTTTGGAACCTGTGATACTTTTTTTCAGGATTCTTTGATGAATAAATGTTCAAAAGAAGAGCATTTATTTAAAATAGAAATATTTTCTAACAATATACACTACATTTCAAAAGTTTGGGGTCAGTAAATTTGTATTGTTAGAAAAGATTTATATTTTGAAACCAAAGAATCCTGAAAAAAGTATCGTAGTTTCCAAAAAAATATTTGGCAGCACAACTGTTGCCAACATTGATCATTTTAATAATAAATCAGCATATTAGAATGATTTCTTAAGGATCATGAGACACTTTATATTGGAGTAATGGCTGATGGAAATTCAGCTTTACATCACAGACATAAATTATATTAAAGGATATTAAAATAGAAACCATTATTTTATATTGTAATAACATTTTGCAAGATTACTGTTTTTTTGATCAAATAAATGCAGCCTTGATGAGCATAAGAGACTTCTTTAAAAAACATTACATGTCTTATTGATCACAAACTTTTGAGATTATATGGTGTTTATACCGGTAGTGTGCGTGTAATTATATATATATATATATTTATCACATGAGACTTCTCAGAACGCAGACCTTTCATGTACAGTGGCAGCTAAGCTGTGCACTACAAGATTTAACAACAATAAGACAAGCCTTCATTTCTCACTGGGGTGGATTTTTGTAGTTGTATCTATATACTAGTGTTCGTAAAACTTAATCTTTCTGTCCGGCACCGATCGCTGACCAGCCAAGTGTTCATTTCACTTTGGAATATCTGAGGGAGTCAAGCAGACACTCCTGTGTACACTCAGATAAGCCGGCAACATTTTTCAGACTTTACAGGAGCAATCAAAGCTGCTTACGAATCCGTTCCAGTTGGAAGAACAACTTTATTTCAACAGGCTTTTACTCAACCCGTGACGGCATAGCAGTATCAAACTATTTCACCGCCTCAGGGAGAAAGAAAACCCACGAGATGGCTGTGATTCTGTGTGTGTGCTTGTGTAGTTTTATTTCAGGTCTTACCTCTCCCTTGATGGCACAGTGCATCACGGCAGGAGGCCCCAGGATACGGTTGTCATTCTTGTACAGGAAGCTGTATTCGGGAGCCTGGAAGTCTTTCAACACAAACACGGTCTCGAACTCGCAGTTCTCGCCGTCACCAAAATCTCTGACATTGTCAGTCTTGATACAGGGGGTGTTTATATCCTAATAGGGATGAAAAGGAAAATTCTTAAATAAAATGAAGATGACAATATCAGTAAACACATTAGCTGGATTGTGATCACAATTTCTTCAATGTAGAGAGAGCTCTCCTTTAGTAAAAGGGATCTCAAAGATGTTAAAGCGTTCTGACAGATGACACACTGAAGAAAGACAGCAGTCATTTGTCAAATGCAGATTTAGTGGATACAAACACAAGTGCCAAGGGCGGTTCACACTGGACAGTTAAATAGACAATAAAGTATACAACAGAATTAGGGATAAAGAATAATCGGTATCGGCCAAAATTTTCATATCGGTGCATCTCTAAACAGAATGCATATTGGATCGGCCAGTATAGGCGATTTACTTGTACATGTTCATTTCTGCCTATATATATATAAATAATATCATTTACAAAAAATACAAGTATTATTAAATCTAATATTTCACAATCATGTTTTCACTATTTTTGATCAAATTTTGATTAAACGCTAGTGTACATGTAAACATGTCACTGGCAATAAATGTGTTGCTCAGGTAAACTTTAATCAGTCAAGGACAGAAATGTATCAGAATTTTAACTGCTGTTTAAATTTCAGATTTAATTGAATTTTTAATTTCAGGAACACAAACACGCAAGCAGACATAGAAATAATCCAGATCAACCTTAAAATTCAGTTAAAAATTGTATCAGTCAGGCAAACGGAAGGATTTCAGGTTTATCTTTTGTGCACTAGGCACCAAGCTGGGCAACTATTAGCGAACTGATTACTTTTTATCAGATTGGAAGATTCTGACGCTCTTCTTCTCCAGCTAAACTCACATTGAACTTGGAATATTTTAGAAGGGTCTGATTTATTATTCTATTTCATCTTACCTCAGTGAAAACAATCTATATAAAAAGCTTGACTCTCTTCTTTGGTACCTGAAGAGCTTTCTCAAGTTCTGCAATGTTGCCGGCCTCCCCCACCAACACCACCCTGGTCTCAACTCTGGGCAATACATCTAAAAAAAGAAAGAAAAAAAGACCACAGGCAAAGGTGAATCTCTATGGAAATAGACAAAATAGAGTGGGAGAAAATAACCTCTTTTGTTATGTTTGTGCTGCAGTAAAACGGTCCACCCTCCAGAAATGTCAGTTGATATAAGGTTGATCGAGATGGAGGGCAGTTCACTTACCCTCTGTCTCGTCTGCATGTAGACCCATGAAAAATTGCTCCTTTGAGGTCTCAGCCATCCGGGAGTCGTATATGGAGGAGTCCACCAGCAGGCTGCGGCCCGGCCCTAAAGTAACTATGCTGCTGTCAGCCATGGCGCTGTGACAAGGGGTGGCGACCCAGTCCTGTCCAGAATATCAAAAGCTGGAGGCCAGAGAGAAAGGAGTGAACCAGGGCGGCACAAAATAAGAGACAAACAGCTGAGTTTCTAGGAGGGAATGAAGGTTAAAGGGAGGAGAAAATCAATATATATAAATCTGCACCAATATGAATCAAAGTTAACTTATGAACTTTAAAAAATAAAAATAAACTTACCAACTGAATAAATGTAATGAGTACTTAATCTGAATGCAACATTACATTAATGAAAAGCTGGTGCAGTTCATTATAAGAACAAGAACGACCAAACGAGAAACAAAACATTAAATGTCTATATGTATGAGTGTGTGTATATGAGTGTGTATGAGTGTGTGTATGAGTATGAGTGTGTGTGTGTGTGTGTGTCTGTGTGTGTGTATGAGTAATCTGCACCAATATGAATCAAAGTTAACTTATGAACTTTAAAAAATAAAAATAAACTTACCAACTGAATAAATGTAATGAGTACTTAATCTGAATGCAACATTACATTAATGAAAAGCTGGTGCAGTTCATTATAAGAACAAGAACGACCAAACGAGAAACAAAACATTAAATGTCTATATGTATGAGTGTGTGAGTGTGTGTATATGAGTGTGTATGAGTGTGTGTGTATATGAGTATGAGTGTGTGTGTGTGTGTGTGTATGAGTATGAGTGTGTGTGTGTGTATGAGTGTGTGTGTGAGTATGAGTGTGTGTTTGTGAGTGTGTGTGTGTATATGAGTATTGTGTGTGTATGAGTGTGTGTGTATGAGTGTGTGTGTATGAGTGTATGTGTATGAGTGTATGTGTATGAGTGTATGTGTATGAGTGTATGAGTGTGTGTGTGTGTATGAGTATGAGTGTGTGTATGAGTATGAGTGTGTGAGTGTATGTATGAGTGTATGAGTGTGTGTGTATGAGTGTATGAGTATGAGTGTGTGAGTGTATGTATGAGTGTGTGAGTGTGTGTATGAGTGTGTGTGTATGAGTGTATGAGTGTGTATGAGTATGTGAGTGTATGAGTGTATGAGTGTGTGAGTGTATGTATGAGTGTATGAGTGTGTGTGTATGAGTGTGTATGAGTGTGTATGAGTATGTGTGTGTATGAGTGTATGAGTGTGTGTGTATGAGTGTATGAGTGTGTATGTATGAGTGTGTGTGTGTGTATGAGTGTGTGTGTGTGTGTATATGAGTGT